ATAGCTGCTTCACGGTCGCCCATTTTGGTTGAGTACGTGGAGAGATAACACGTGTTTTGTGTGGGAGTGCTGAGATTTGTGAGTGATCAACATCCCCGGGTGATCAACATCCCGGTCAGCTAGCTTAAGGGCGGTTGCATCTAGCCCTTTCGGAGATTCACGATTCGCCGAGGCTCGTCCGAAACCGTCGACTTCACATCAACTTGACAGAACACTGCGCATAAAGAGGGTCAAATTGTTGTCGCGTTTGCTCTCAAGGTCCGACTCAACCAGCGGGTCTGTAACATAATCTCCTCACAAATTCACCGCTTGGGTATCCGCTTGCAGGTCTCGATTCTTACAAACGCACCGTACGCCGCACCTCGGTACACTCGCAATCACAGCGCATCGACTCAACGAGCCCCGACTCATACTGCGACTGGAGTCATGGCGGAGCAGAGCATCAACGTACCCCAAGTCATCGTTTTCATCGTCGTCACGTTCCTCGCTGTACGATGGTACTTAAGGAAACCCACGGCGGCGGCCCCAGGCACGCGAGCTGCGGCGAACCGCGCTGCAGTCCGCGTAAGTCCTGCGCAAATAGACCAGGTCGCTGAGATGCTGCCGCAGTTGAGCAGACGAGATATTGCATGGGATCTGCAAAGGAACGGTGGTAATGTCGCGGCGACAACAGAGAGGGCGCTGAGCGGGAGGGGTTTAGACACAGTAAGACTCACAACCTGAGCTTTATCGATGCTGTCGACGTATGCTAACACATGTCTAGGCACCGCCGTCCTTCCAAATACCTACACCTACACCACGAACTGCACCTACACAGGCGCGAGCAGCCCCAGCCCCATCGAGACCTGCGCATCCAGATCTGATAACACGATACAATCTATCCTCGAAGCTTAGTCAGGCCGACCAACCCGTACAGGAGGAGCAACCGAAGACAAAGTCGTGGAGTGCAGATAAGAGTGAAAGGCAAGCAAACTTGCAAAGACGGCGAGAAGAGATGATCCTGGCGGCACGGAGAAAGCTCCAAGAACAGGAAAAGGCAAAGGCTTCGGGCTCTGCATAGTCACTTCTGTACTCTGTGTCGAAAGTGGGAAAGAGACAGTATAGCGAGCCATAAACGCATGTGTTGGTAGTTATACCCTAGATCGTTTCCGCAATGCATCCTCCCATATACAACTTCAGATCATGTTAAAAACGTTATCGTGTCTACGGGCTGATGATCTCATAGGCCGGAAACATAGTCAGTATTACTGAGTGTATGATCATTATGATTAATGAGCTGATGTTAACATCGTCGCTCTAGGTTGCAATGTGTGTGTAGCAGTGAACACTCTCTACGGGTAATTACAAGGCGCCCACGTTCGCTCTATGGCTTTCCTTGAATCATACTGTGCAAGGTTGCCATTGGCGGCCAATAATAACACGAAGAATTGCGGGACGTTGACGCTGGGGGCCAACGCCTTCCCCAAGAAATCGATCGGTTCCGATACCCCTTGTCGAATCTCCAGCTACTTAGATAAAACCGCCGCGTAGCAATCTCGACATTCAGCATGTTGGGGTTCACTTCGTCTTCCCTTCCGTCCGTCGAATGTCCGGAGCAGAGGTTTTCAGTGCATTAGGCACCCCTGCACGAACGGCTGCACGGGTTCTCCTCGCACCACGATATGCTGTTAATGGCTTCCAGCCTCTCCGAGGGTGGGTGGACAACGAATATGCACGCGCGCGATACGGGCCGTGGTACATGTGGCGTATATGGCTTCTTTTTGATTGCAAAGACCTCGAAGTGCTGGAGAATTTGATCAACGACGGACAAGACGAGCAGGTACTTGAGATGCGGGATGCGAAGTTGAAGCAGTTCAAGCTAGTCACGTTGGTGGTATGTATACCTATTTTCAACTAAGACATGGAGACCACATGAGTGAGCAGCTCAGCATTGGATGTGCTGAAAGCTGATATGGACACTTCAAGGGCGCCCTCTTAGCAACTTTAGCTCTTCAGGCACTCTCCCTCCCTGTCCTAGAGGAGACCATATTCGTCGCACGCGCAAGCTTCATCGTTAGCACTATGCTCTCCCTGCTCGCCACATTCTTCACCCTCATCCAACAACGCGAAGTTGGCGTCATCCGCGATGCGAGATCCTTTCGGAGATGGCTCTCCAATGGCGTCCAGTACTATAACGCCCGAGAGCGCCTTGTATGGCAGAGCTCTCTGACGTCCCTAACGTTAGTGGAAGCTCCTTACGAACTGATAAGCTTAGCTGTAGCGAGCTTCGTAGCAGGCATGTCAGCATATGGTACGTTATGCCTGTACGAAATGCATGTGCGACATTCACTAACTTCGTATCTTCACCTCTGCAGTGTGGGATGTTTGGAAGGACGGACTAAAAGCTCAGAAAGAGCAGGGTCTGGACGGTGTAGCAGTGGTAGTGTACTTTGCTGTTGCGACAGGGTTTGCATTTACAATGTTTCCAGTGTTATTGGGACTAAAGGACCGAGAGGAGAGTGTGTATTATAAGAATACAGAGATGTAGGGTCGGGATGGAATGCTTAGGTATCTTGACGACTATGACGTCACCTCAATACTCAGCAACACTACATTGACGACTACTCTTGCGCCAGCCACATATGACTGTTTTATCTTTCAATTGTTAACACTAAGATGCTTCAGAAAAATTCAAATGATCACACGGACTCAAGAAATTCGTTTGTAATATTCGTGTTCCGACGAAAATCGGATCCTGAATGGAGAAGCGGAACTACGACGGAGTTAAGCTCAAACAGGATCATATCAAAAGTGTCCTCGTCTGTATTGACGTTAGCTCTTACTTGGAGGGATGTGCATTTCTTGGCTGGTTGCTGATTGTTGGAATATATAAGAAAGTGTCCTTGCGTGAAAGAAATACTAGTAACAGCGTTTACAATACCAATTGTCTACCTACGACTGCACGAAGTTCTTCAACATATCATTCACTGCGTACGAAAATGGCTTCACCACTACCATACAATCGACAGAATGCGCTTGCCTCGACCATCGCAGTGGACAATGCATCCAACATAGCTGGCAAGATTGTTATTACTACCGGTGTGACGCAAGGTGGCCTAGGAGCAACTTTCGTAGAGGAGGTTGCAAAACACAAACCCGCTCTTCTCATCCTCGCTGGTCGTTCGCCATCCAAAGTCCAAGTCACAGCCGACAAGATCAGGTCCAACCCAGCGAGTGCCAACGTTGAAGTGCGTATTCTAGCCTTGGATCTTGCCTCACAAAAGCAGATCCGCGAAGCCGCAAAAGAAGTTTTAGCATACCCAGAGTCCAACATCGACATCCTCGTCAATTCAGCAGGCACGATGGCGGGCCCTTACCGCACCACAGCTGAAGGCATCGAGAGCCAATTCGGATGCAACCACGTCGGACATTTCCTCTTCACCAATCTCATCATGTCCAAGCTCCTTGCTTCCAAAGCACCAAGAGTTGTCAATGTGGCTAGCGACGGCCATCGCTTCAGCGGCGTTCGTTTTGAAGACGCAAATTTTCAGAATGGCAAGGTGTATGACCAGTGGGAAGCCTACGGTCAGAGCAAGACAGCGAATATATTGTTTTCGTATGCGTTGGCCGAGAAACTAGGGTCAAAGGGACTGAGAGCTTACAGTCTGCACCCGGGAGTGGCGTTGGGAACATCTCTTGCTGAGAAGTTCGATGATGAAGACATGAAGAGTGTGGGTACGTAGAAGACGTTGAAAATCACCGTAAATGACTGTCTGACGAGTACACAGCGGCCAAGGATAAAGCGATCGGCTGGGCGCGTGGTTTTGACATCAAGTCGCTCGATGAGTGTGCGGCTACCCATGTTGTCGCTGCCTTCGACACAAGACTGGATAACTATAACGGTGCCTTCCTCAACGATGGAAACGTGGCGCCACAGGAAGTGCAGCCGACAGCGAAGAACCCGGAAGATCCAGAGAAGCTTTGGAAGCTGAGCGAGAAGCTGGTAAGAGAAGAATTCGTATACTGAGCACGGAGGCTGCGCAGATTGTTCTCAAAATGTATGGGGTAGCATAAGGCATCTTCACGCCACGCAATGCCATGTTTATTTGCTGCCTCTTCTCATGCCCATTTCAAGCACCTTGTAGCCTCATGCGCGTCTTTGCACTCCAATCCACACACGCGCGCGCCACACTTGCGACACTTGATCTGCCCCCAATATCCACAGTTATCGCAGAACTGTCTCTGCGGTGGACCGCCAGCTGGAGGAGGCGCTGCGTGGCTTGCAGCGTACGAGAGCGGCGGTGCGGCAAGCAGTGCCTCAAGCTCGGCGGGGTTGATTGGTGCAGGTATAGAGTCGTCGATGGAGAGTAGCGCATCGTCAGCATTCGCGTCTTCGAGTCGTGATGGCGTTTGTGCTATGGCTGCGGGTCCTGGGGTGGCTTCCGCAGGTGTCGCGGGCACGGAAGCGAAGGCGCTCTGTCTTCGGGACGCTTGTGTTGCTCCTCTTCCTCCTGTGGACTGAGACACACTCCCTCTTGATGTCGTCGTTGCTTGTCCCAATTGCGCCTCTTCGTCGTCGAGCCAATGCTTGATCTGCCGCTGATACTGTATGATCCTCCTTGCATTCTGTGTCTTGGGCACGCTCGGCTTTCCAGGCACCGTGATAAGCTGTTTGGGGTCGTTGTCGCGTTCTAGCTCTGCTATGCGTCGCGCTATAGCCGTCTGCTGTCGTGCAGATAGCTCATTCTCGGCGCGCTGACCGCCTGGCGTTGCTGCCGCTGCGCGCTTCTTGTTCTTTGGGTTGATGGCAACCTTGGAGGGGTCGTAGCCCGTGTCGACGACATACGTCCATCCCGGTGCGACGGTCGCCGTCGAGTTCGGGAGCACCTCAACGTGTGGCATCGTGAATGGTCGAATGTGCAGGGTCGTGTTGCGGAGACTTCGGAGGTGTGGAAATTATGCATCCACATGCCGACGCGCCCAAAGTCCAGACGCCGGTACCTGCATGATCAGTGCGGGGTACGTACACTACTTGGATTGCTTCCCGTCTCGTCATCAACATGTTCGACGTCAGCCGACATGTGCAAAGCTGTATTTGAGAACATGCTATCCTCGGCTACTATCTACCTTGGTAGCATATAATCCCATAGAGTCAACCATCAAGGCACAGTAGCCACTTGATCGATTCACTCAAGGCTAACTGCATACACTTACCTGCAAGTCGCTTCTTTGCAACCAAACATGGCGCCTGAGAGGAAACCACCTATCGTACTTGCGCCTACTTCTCCACCAGATGATATCTCCAAGTCGGCTGCCTTCGTCTTTATCCATGGCCTCGGTGACGAAGCAGAAGGCCTAGCAAACGTCGCCAACCAATTTCAGTCTGCGGGCAAACTACCGTATATGTCTTGGGTTATTCCCAATGCGCTAGAAAACCACGATCTAGCAACTACTGCCTGGTATCTCCCCACACGCCTCTCTCCATATCCACCGTCGCGGCCTGAGCTCGAAGATGACGAAGACGAAGACGGCATGATGGCAACAGTATCGTATATCACCACATTGATTGATGATCTCGTCAGACAGGGTGTCCCTGCGGAAAGAATTATTCTAGGGGGTTTCTCACAGGGTCATGCTATGGCGCTTCTAACTGGCTTGATATCCAAGTACGCTGGGCAACTTGGGGGACTGGCCGGTTTGTCTGGATACCTTCCTCTGGCAACACAGATACCCAGGCTGAGAGAGCAAGCCGGGTTACCGAAGGATGTAAGTGAAAGTAAGGAGGTATTTCTGGCAAGGGGAACTGGGGATCGATTGGTGCCAAAGCGTTACCATCGTTTGTGTTATGAAGGATTGTATGAACTTGGTATCGAGAAAGAGAAGGTAACGGTAAAAGAATATGAGGGAATGGGTCATATCATGGGCGCGGCTGAGCTGCGAGACTTGTGTGCTTGGTTGGAGAAAGCAATACCCGAAATAGACTAAGATGAGGAATAATTCGACCCTGCGAAGTTGTGGCAGGCGAAACTGATGACTACCATGTTGTATCCCTCGTCTCCTAACTATGATTCCTGCTCCATCTCAAAGTCAAAATTGCCAAAATACACACAAAGTGCCTGCGCAACATCAGTATAGAATCTAGCTTCATGGCGGCTAGCTATATCATACCTTACTAGCACCCATCACAGTATAATGAGCAACCTCCAACTTCTTCCCATCTTGTCCATATCTCGCAATCTGATTAAGATCGGACGTTCTCGGCAGATACAGAACAACTTCTTTGCTTATCTTCGTAAAGCTCTTGTAGAGTGTTTCCAGGTTGTATGGCTCCATCTTACTAAGATCAAAGATATCTTCCGCACCGTATTCGGTTCCTATGTCGGTCAGCATATTTCGCATGTCGGTGCTCTGATTATACGAACCTCCCCATGGCGGGCTAGCGAACACGACAACATTGCTCTGTCCAGAGAATCTGTTAATGGCAGTGAAGCAATCTGCGTTGAGCCAAAAGATCTTATTGCTCACACCATAGATCTCAGCATTGTGCTTTGCGCACTTCAAGGTCTTGGCGTCTTTCTCGATGGCGAAGACGCGTTCCCAGCGACCTGAACGCGCTAATGCTATGGCATTACCACCGACACCCGCAAACGCGTCGACAATGACGGTCTTATCCTTGGGCGCAGACTCTGCGATGTGGGCTGCGATCTTGTTGGCGATGGGTTCTAGAGTCACGCCGAACCATGCGTCTTCAGTCATCCATATGCCTTGGTCGTACTTTTCCCAGATCTTGAACCGTTGATGCCAGTACCTACTAGTATTAGCTGCTAGGTTTCGCGAATTCGGTAGAAGATGAGCCATACTTCTTTAAGTGTTCAGGAAATTGCTCGACACGCGACCACTGGTCCACGCCTTTCTCATCCGGTTTTTCACTCATGACTATAGTGAGCGCAGTGTGTAATCCCGTAAAGGTCGTTATTTCCTCACAATCACACAAAAGACGAGGATCAGTTTAGAAGATATGTTGATGACGAGTAAAGCAAGCAAACGGTATGGATGGGTGAGAGCAATCCTGATACGCGTTACTATTTCGGGTTAGTCTTGACCAACGCGACTGCCTATTCAGATTCAGGTTACTTTACGACGTGAAATGTATACATTTGACTGACTGCGGACAGTTCAAAGAGGAAAATTTATCTTTGACTCGATTTTGAGCTATAGCAACCTGTCTCACGTCCTGTACAAGCACTCACTGCAGCGCAGCGCCCGCTAGCGTGCCGCAGATCCTGAGCTATGGCCACCTTCCAAAACCTCCAAGTCATCAACAACGACACCTCCACCACCACAACTTCTTCTCCGTCATCTTCATATGATCACTCTCTAGAGGGGAAACCAATATCACAGCCTCTCATAATGTCTATGTTCGGGGCGCTAAATCGCTTCATATCGCGATTAGACGCTGCACCCCTCAACGAGGAGCAGCAGTCTGCTACCAATGGCGCATACGGATTCCAGGTGCTGAGAAATGCCAATCCAGAAGTACCTCTAGAGCCATGGTTTGATTTTGTCATTGGAATCAATGGGCGAACTATTGTATGTATGATTCCGTCTGATTCAAGGGCGGCAGCACAGGAAACGAAAGAGCTGGAGAGTCAGGAAAACTACGAAATGGGTGTGAGAGGTTGCAAGACGAACATGAGATGGCCGAAACTAAGTGGAATTGGAGAATGTTGAACTGACTTTGCAAACAGGATAACCCCGACCCAAGCCTCTTTGCGACAGAGGTACGGAACTGTGCTGGCACAACAATTAGTCTGGGCGTATTCAGTGCGAAGGTAGGTCTGGATTGCCCCTTCTGCGTACCATGATACGTGTTATCACGCATTGCCCACTTTCTCACTGCACGACAACAAAGACACAGACTAGTCCTCAAAGTTGATTTCACATGGTTATTTCGTTTCATATCTACGGGTCTAACACCCTCTGCAGGGCCAAAAGATCCGGGAAGTCTATCTACAGATCCCCGCAAACCAGCCTACACTAGGCATCTCCCTGCAATGGTCCCCACTTGCCATCGCAGAAGACGTCTGGCACATCCTAGACGTAGCTCCCAATTCACCCGCTGATGCCGCGGGGTTGCTACCCTACGGTGATTACGTCATCGGCAGTCCCGAAGGGCTTGTGCGCGGCGAATCCGGCTTGGGTGAGCTTGTTGAAGACTTCATGAACAGGCCGTTGAGACTATACGTGTATAACCATGAATACAACGTCACCCGACCTGTTACCATCACGCCAACACGTAACTGGGGCGGTGAGGGTGCGTTGGGCTGTGTTCTGGGCTTTGGGGCTTTGCATCGTATTCCAGCGGGGCTGGACGAGCCGCCGCCAGCGCCTGGGGAGACGTTCTTCTCCACGGGCGATGCTAGTGGGGCTACCTCGTTCGACGAGAAACGCCCTTTGACGGGCACCGCTGATTTCTCTGCTGTTCAGCCCCAGGGTGCACCGGCTGAATTGTTTGTACCAGCCAATATGGCGCTACCGTCGGTCTCTCCACCGCCTCAGGGCACGGTGCCGCCTCCAAAGAGGAAAGGCAGAGCGCACCATGTGGCTAGCCCCGCAGATGGCGGTGGTGGTGTCCTGGACGACTACTTCAAAGAAGGCGAGCAGAAGAGTCTAGAGCAAGATTATGCACCAAAGAAGACCAGTGGTGTCCCTCCGCCTCCGAAGGCTGGCGGTCCGCCAAGAGGTCCGCCCAAGAGTGGTAGTGCGAGCAGGACAGGCACACCAGTCCAAAGCGATGGCAATGCGGAGGGTACAGCAGACCCAGAAGCAGCATAAGCTTGACTTGAGATTAGCATGATATCTCAGAGAAGATGAATGACAGCAACATACATTTGATGACACCGCACTCCTTGTTACTTTCTCACATCCTCATTCAGTCCTCAGCCTCAAAGTCTAGTTCTTCCCTGAATCGGCTCATCCTTCGCTGTTTCTTTTCTTCTACACTCTCGTTGCTTGCATTGCTCGATTGCGTCATGTACGAGTCGGCTCTAGCTTGCACTTCAGGCCTCTTCACGGCACCGCTAACACTCGTTTCTTTGCGTCCGTTGACCTTCTCAAAGGAGGAAACTTGGGGTGAAGTAGGTGATTGTTCTGGTGAAGAATCCGGGGAGGAAGACAGAGAGGTTTTGAGTTTGGTAGTCAGGGTACGGAAGATAGGCATCTTGGGTGATGGTCGTGAGTTTTTGTGATGATTTTGAGTGAAGATGTAGATGGTCGCAGTGGTTTGGTATGTCAGGTAGTTGGAATATGGTAGTGGTGATGTCGAGACCCGAGTATTTGCATGTATCCAGTCGATAGGTAAGCCAGTGTAGGTTATTACGATGGACAGGCAAAAAGGAAGCAACCACGATGGTATATGGACAAACAAACGGTAGTAATATCCCAACGGAAAATGCGCCAACAAAGGCGAGGCACACGACCACTCTAAATACCCTTTCCCCCACCACACACACACTCACATACCCAACGCATAACAGCAATCCCAATGCAGACTACAGCCCCAGCACACCACGTCAGGGGGCCGGGCGCCACCTAGGGCTAACCCAATACGCGCGACTCTCATAGCCGCAACAACCCAACTATCAATAAACACGCGCAGTAGTTTCAAACCACGGGTTCCATGCAAACCACAGAACGAGCGTGCGTCTAGACCGGCATATTCGTGGTATGTGGGTACGTTAGTTGACGATGCAAGGCCAGACCCTGCGCTAGCTATTGCTGATCGCCATTACACTGTGTCTGTTCCTGGCCCAATTTACGTAGTAGCAAGGGAGTCACATGGCAGCTGGGTATTCCCGAGGTGCCGTGGGGCGACGGGCAGCTGGCTTTCGCTAATATGGGAAAGACGTTATGGGCTTTTCTATGACGGTTTCCCTGATTGCGAGCAAGCTTCCTGCAACGCCGATCAAAGGAATCGCAATCCCATGCCCAGCGCCGATGAGTCCCCGGAAACACCTGGCGTTAGAACAGCGGCAGGACATGTTATGTTGTTACGGTCAAGTAAAGCGATTGGCTGCACAGCGGGGTAAAAGGAGAGAGGCTTGGCTTTTTTTTCCCGCTGGCCAAAACGGACAATCACGGACTACACCGCCATATGTGCTTTGCCGGCTTTAATCTGCTGCGACGAATCTATGCTATTGTGATTGGCGTATGTGGGCAAAAACGGGCGCAGGCGAAGTCGCTGACAGCAGGAAACAACGTCGAGGCAGTCATGAGACGTTTCCATCCAGCCTCCCACAAGTGTCACGAGCCCATTTTCACCCGGGCAACCTTCTCCCGCCCTCCCTCGCACCAGCCCTCTGGATCAGCGCGAGCCCAGATCTAGCGAACAATCGATGATGGGGTGTATCGGCGCACTCTGTGCAGGTAGGCAGAACGAAACATATCCGGTCGCCTTTACAAGTCGGCCATTGCTCCGCGCCGCGGCCCCCTTTGCATCGTAACGACGGCGCCACGTCCGTTTACTTGCCGGAACCAATGCCTTTTCTCTCACCCAATTATCCACATGGTTCCTGCCCCTGCAGCGACAACTGCCAAAATAGACACTTAACGTCCTCCACCACATGGGAAACTCCCCGGTTTCAACTGTTGAGATGGTTTGCAATCTCCACCTCGTGTTCCTGTCTATCAAGAGTTCTGGCCACCTAGACCGCTTCGGACTTGAATCAGGTGGTAAACAGTCGGTTCGAGTAGTGTTGCATCCGGCAACGACGGGAGTCTCCAGTGCTCCACCGGCTGACACCTCTGACGTCCACTGAGTCTTCAACCAAACCGTGGTTCATTCACCGCATCTTACCCCTGCCGAACTGGTGCCGAATCGGTCCCAGAGAAGGCCTTTACAAGCACTATTGATGCTGACACCTAGGACGGTATTAACAGGAGTGCGGAATGAAGGCGGAACCAGATGCACAATGTGCGCCGAAAGGGAGATTAGTGCAACAGTAAACCTGAGTGTCAAAGATAGAAACGCTTGAGGCGTAGGTACACGCAGGGGTTGCATTCGCAGGTAAATCTATCTCTGCGAACTCTACATGGGGGAACAATATCTAATTGGTCTCCTCGTAACAACAACCAAATCAAAACTCCGACTTGCTTTTCGAGCAGTCTATCCGTAATGAGCCTCCCAAAACAAAATATTTGAACGCCCATGTGGCTCGTGGAGCTAACAATACTTGGAAACGGGCCGGAAAACAGGCACAAGGCCAAGGGAAAGTCTGGGGTACGCAAAAACAAACGCCTTACTATGATGTAATGCCCAAAACGCCATGTTTAACCTTGCTTCATCTTATATCGAGCTGGAAGGGTTTAAACTTGGCTCCAATAGTGCTGCATCGCGGACACGTCGGCACCCGACCGCGGTTGTGCTCACTGACAAGTACATCGACACACTCTTGACAAAGGCCGCAGATGCATTCGGAACATGCATAACTGTCGCGCAATATGGAAAGTTTCCGACATGCAGCGCAGTATATTTGCACAGGGAAAAGAGAGCTAGGAGAAGAATCAGATAGACCCTGGGAGGGCATATGGAAAGTTTGACCGGACATGGCTGATTCAATGGACGACTCCACGGAAGGGAAAGGCTGGAGATCCGACATATCAGGCGGCGGAGGCGTCAAGGCGTTGTTCAATGGTGATGCGGTGTATGACTGAAGTTGTGAAGCAAAGTTAAAGGGAGGTAGAGAGGTTCGGTTGTTCATCATGTGAGGAGATTGATTTGGCGATTGTGGGACCTGTTCATGTTAGACGAGATGGGATACTAGAGTGTGATACCAACCGGTGTAAGATCTCGACTATCCTCTTCTGTGGCCGAAGCTGCAGCGTCAATCAAGTCTTCCCATCGTTTACCCATGATGGCCGCAGCTGTTGCCGGCTCAGCTGAGTAAGCTTTCCTGTCGTAGCTCAGCCTACGGGAGTAGTCCTTTGACTTCTGCCGCTCATGCTTTCCCCTACGAGCATTCTGACCTATAGATGACTTGCGAGGTCTGTTCGGTTTGAGAGAGTGAACGCCTGGTGGCAGTGTTGAGGAGCGCCCGGGGGGCGAGCGGGCGAGGGAGGAAGGAAGCAACTCTTGTTGTATAGAATTGGAAGTATAGTAAGGTTCCTCGGCATTAACGTGTTGCTCTATGGTGGTAGGAGCGAATCGTGCGCGAGGTCTGTAGTTTTTCGAGTCCGGGTCGGATGCTGCGTCCTGTTCACAGCAGTTGTTAGCTCGGTCTTATGCAGGGAAGCTGCAGAGCGGCTTCATACCGGATCTGAGTCCCAGTCGTACTCGGCACGATGGTTGTGTAACGAGGCCAGGGCAGCTGCAGCGGTTGCAGCGGGTAGGAGCGATGGCCGTCGCATCTCATCCGATGTGCGAATGTTATTGGTACCGAAGTCGGTCTCGAAGAAGGAGTTATGTTCGTTTCCGCCATAATCGTACGTCTGCTGGGGTGCTGCTGAGGTCGTTGCGGGTGGAGGTGGGGGTCGTTCTTGTGGTGGTGTGTTCACCATCAACATGAAGCTCTCCTACAAGTAGGAATGCCGCGTCAGCAAGAGGTTTGCACGGTCTTGAGCAGGGACAAGCTTACCTCAGTTGCCGGTAACTTGGAGATATAATGCTCCGGGTGGGCACGGCGGATGTGCTCTTGCATGGACCGAAAGCGCTTCTCCTACGCATGGCGTGTTAGTCTGCACCTGGGAGCTCTGGAAGCTCTGGAAGCTTGCCATAACGTGAAAGAACGATGGTGAGGACTTACGCCAGTGCAGCGCTTGCGACAGGCGGAGCTGTCATGGTTGCGCAGCGGGCAGACAACGACATTGTTCTCGTCGCTGACGGAGAAGGAGCTCGTCAGCGGTGCTGCGCGCGAGGGAGGCATGGCTGCAAGCATCAATGGCAGAAGCTTCCCAACGAAGCAATGGCACGCGAAAAAGCTGGGCGCTAGGACAGAGAAGCTCTACCGGAGCTTGCGCAGCTTGGGGAGAAGGTTACAGTGTCGGTAGAGGCTGGTGTGGTGACTACGGCGGGTTGACGAGGAAGCTCTGGGCTGAAGTTGCTGCTACTGCGGATAGACGTAACTGAATGCGGGGCAGCTGGGAACAGCGGCGGGGCTGGAGAGAAAGTGATCAAGTAGTGGCTGTGTTCAAGAATCACGATTGAACCATGGAAGAAGAAGCAATGCGAGTGCACTGCTGCCGTCAGAGGAGAGCTGTATCGCCACAACCAGCTCGAGCGGATGAGCAATCAGACGGCTGCCCTGGAGCTGAGGCGAAGAAGATAGCTTGGAGCTCTTCGTGCTGCCCAATGACCTACCGCTTGAATGGGGATTTGTGCGCTCCAATCAGACGTAGCCGTGATCAAGGCGACTCATAATCAGCTAGACGGCGCAGAAGCCTTCTCACAGCTCAAGTCCCGTGCATGCAAGAAATTTTGACCAATGCGAACTATTGCTCGGACTCTTCAGCAGCACATCGGCTACGGCGCCATGAAGATTTTTGCTCTTCGAATGCCGAGCTAGATCCAGTTTCGGCCGGCAGGACCAGGAAAGTGCTGCACTTGGTTGCAGGGAGCTGCATCTACCACATTTCCTGCGGCGAGCTTTGGGTCGAGGATGCGGTGGTGGGAAGCGTCAAGGAAGACGGGAAGGAGGAACGAACAAGACACACGCAGCACGCGACGACGAGCTTTTGACGCGCCGGGGGTGGCAATTGTTGAGTGACAGGAGCACCGTCTTGCTATCGCTTTCCAAACGCGTCACATGCGTCTCGTCTGCACCTGCTGTTTCCCCCCGGTGCTCGTCTGCACCTAACCACGCTCGCGTCAACCTTCCAAAGCATTTGCTTCTGCGGCCGTTCCAAGGCGATGGCGCACGCCCATAATCATCATGGACAAGGGCATCACAGACTGACACGGCATCGCCGTACCTTGTTGCCTCGTCTCCCTCTCCTCACATGTCTTACGTTGCCGTTGCATCGTCGTGCGCTTTGCCGACATTGTCTTGCACTTGTCTTCCGCTAGCATGGCACTCTCCGTCGAGTCGTTGAATGGAGACACTTCCTTTCTCCTTACCTTTGATCCACCCGCAGCCCCACTATCGTCACCAGGGTTGTTCCCAGGCTCCTTCACGATTCTGGTTGACCGTAAGTCTTTGAGGATCGCGTCTTCGATCGTGCATGAGATGACAGTCTGTAAACACGTGCTAATCTATTTTCTGGATAGCCTGGCTGTCAGGGCCGTCAATCATCCTAAACTCCATCTTCTCGCATTCTGAGCAAAGAGCAAAACCTTCCATATCGAGCCTCAAAGACCTTGACCGCGAACCCGATCTCGTGCTTATATCTCAAGACAAGCCGGACCACTGCCATGAAGCCACATTGCGCCAACTTCCACCAGATTCGGAGACGACTATTCTAGCCATCCCATCTGCAGCCAAAAAGATTCGGTCGTGGAAACACTTCCGTCCCAACCTTGTACATGCTCTACCAAAATACGTCGAGGGCGATGGTCGGTCTATACACCGTGTAGTAATACCGCCACCGTCTCCTCGAGGGACGTGTGGTGAGATAACCGTAACTTGGATTCCAGCGAAACGAGACCTATCCAAAGTACACCACGCCATTGGAATAACATATCGGCCTCCGTGTACTGTGCTCTCATCGCTTAGTCCAATGCACTATATCGACCTGCCCATGAGCCCGCCCCCCTCACCAGGATCCCCTATGACCATTGCCTCATCACCTCGTACAATAGTGCCGTCGCCCTACAATGATCGTGAGAAGACTTTGTCCGTCATCTATTCGCCTCACGGTGTGTCATACGACGTGATTCGTCCCTACGCAAGCTCGTACCTTGTCTCGGAATCTGCCCTTCCACTCACAGCGCTTCTGCATTCTTTCGACTGCGTGGAGAACCCTTGGTGGCTGGGAGGCAACATATCTGCTGGAAGTCCCGGTGGCACTGAGATTGCCAAGAGTCTTTATGCCAAAGCATGGATCTCTGCCCACGATGCAGACAAGGACAATCGAGGCTGGGCAGTCAAGTTGACACAGATTGCACAACACGCAGTCGACGAAGTGAAGAAGATGGTGGAAGAAGGTGTTGTCAGGAAGAAGCTACCCAACACCGAGATCATAACACTGGGTTCTGGAGAGAAACATCGGATCGCTGTCGGATGAAGATGGCGCCATTATCAAAAGCCCGAGGCTACTGCTTGTCTAGCATGTCCGGCCAATACACGACCGGCCACCACCGAGGAAGGTGTTAAGGGAGATTGCCATGTTGGATCACATTTCAGACATAGATTGTAATGCTGAGGCCCGGGCTCACCAGAGTCGCATGGTCGAGCGTTAAAAGCGACGGTGGGGTTTGTGTTTGGGATTCTTGAAAGCAGCATGGTAGGGGAGCGGAAGAAGGCTAGCGTCGCGAGCGCAGGTGCCATTGGGTGCGCGATAGTCAACACAGATGCACTGGGGAGAACGTGTCATAGCAGTGTAGATCTATACATGGCCAGCTGTGTGGGGGATATGTGTACGATGCGGAGGACTGCATGCTTGAGGTAGTTGCTACGCGATGTACTGCCATGTTGGGCGGACGAAAACAGGGCTGGGCTAGACAGGAGATTTGGCAGTGGAGCAGGGGCTAGATAGTGCCGGCTATGGACGAGTGGGCAAAGTGCGGCGCAGGGCAAAGGCCGGCTCGCACTCTCCGTTGTCCGGTGCGCGACAACGTGGGCTGCATGGATAAGCATTGGATAGCAATAGCAAGGTGCAGCTTGGGAGTAGAAAATAGCCCTCTCCTTTGCAACGGTGTCAGAGCGGTTAAGAATAGGCCTGTTTGAGAGCCACAGCATGACGCCGTCCCGGACTGCTGGGACTATTGGTGTGGCTGAGGGGATGCATGTCGACTGTTCTTAATCCAGACGCGCAATCTCCCTCCACGGACTCGCGGAACGAGCAAACGAGGTGCGTACACCGCATTGAGGCGGCTTGAAGGGTGTGAAAAGTAACAGAGAGAAGTGACGAATGGACTGAAGCAGCTCCGAGTGCATACAAACTGTCGTGATTCACAGCACATCGGGCCCTTGTGCTGCTGCTTCTGGTGGCTTCGCAGCGTGCAATAAGGCACGATCCACCTGCCAAGGCTAGCGCAAGACGGAAGTCGGATCGCGGCGAGCGAAGGGCTGACGAGCGCAGTGCCAACTATTCGCACGAGCATCACCAGCTTCGACTCCTGGCTGCTGCATACTACACACCACGCCCATTCTTGCGCCCGCCGTTCTTGTTACCACGACCCCATTGATTGAGCGCCTGCCGTCCCCGTCTCTCCTCCACCGTCCGCTCTGCTCTGGTAGTCTCTGACGGCGCTGCGCTACGCTACGCAATCCCCCGGACGACGCCCAACCCGACCTTCACAAGCCACACACACCTACCTCTCACACACACTGGCTTCCCACGCTTCCTCGCCGACCCCTCCTCCGCAGCGCTCGGGGAAGGCTGCCTCTTTGATGAGCGTAACCATCCATGAGTCGCAGATGATGCCCTCGTATGGCGCCGAAGCAACCGACCGCCCATCCTTTGCCCATGCACAAACAACATCCACACCGCCCGCGCGCACCCCCTCGGACCGCTCGTCACCCAATGGCACTGCTGCTGCCATGAACGGGAAGCTATCCAACGGCCGCCCGACCAGGCCTGCGAGCATCGACAAGCGCCTGTCGCAGGAAGAAGGGCGCCATGGCCGGAGTAGGGGAGACGCCATCGACGTCGACACCTTCAACAATAACAACCGCTCGCCCGACATGCACCGGCTGTCCAGCGAGCGCCCGAGCAGGGACGATGGCTACTTTGCCTCGATCCACAGCAGCAAGACCAAGGACCGCCTCTGTGGCAGCACCACGCACGTCGAACTCGGCCAGATAGATGCCCTCGATGGCACAAAAGAAGCAAGCAAGGACTTCTACGTGCCGCATGTCGGCTCCATGTCCAACCCTACCACATCGCCCTCGCCCCAGCCTCAGCCCGACGAGGCCGCGTCAAGCCTGCAGGTACCGACCCAACCGCATCGCGTCTCCTCCCCACCGGCTTTTAACCACAACAACCCCAACTCTTCGCAGCCACCCCACCGCCTACAGCAACGTCACACCCTCGAGGTCCCCAAGCTGCAGACATCGCGCGCCCGCGACACCCAGAACAACACTGACGACGTCATCAGCGCAAGCGGGAGGTTCTCGCCCTCTACACCGCACCGCCGGAGAGGCTCCATGTCGCTTGTGCGTAGGACCACACGCTCCGTCAACTCAGACATGCCTCTTGACGAAGTGCCCCAGGACGATGAGGCCGCGCGATGGGCTGAACACATACGACAGAAGAGAGCCAGCAAGAGGAAGCGCAAAGAGGACGAGGACGAGGATCGCGTCGTAGTAGGCACCAAGGTGGACCAGAATCACGTCAACTGGGTCACTGCCTACAACATGCTGACGGGTATTCGCTTCACCGTCTCACGAACCAACGCCAAGATGGATCGAGATCTTACCGATGCTGACTTTGATGCGAAGCACAAGTTTTCGTTTGACATGTACGTGCCGGCTGTTTTTCCTTATACCATCACGCATTTGTTCGATTTCAGCTTCACTTCGTCTGCCAGACCTGTATTCTCTGCTCATTCGCCCAATACTGACACTCCCACAGAACTGGCAACGAGCTTACTCCTTCCGCCAAGTACGACTTCAAGTTCAAGGACTATGCGCCATGGGTCTTCCGCCATCTCCGCACTACCTTCAAGCTCGACCCTGCCGATTACCTTGTCTCGTTGACAAGTAAATACATTCTTTCCGAGCTCGGCTCTCCAGGCAAGAGCGGCAGCTTTTTCTATTTCTCTCGCGACTACAAGTACATCATCAAGACTATCCATCACGCTGAACACAAATTCCTCCGCAAGATTCTCAAAGACTACTACAACCACGTACAAGAGAACCCCAACACCCTTCTTTCCCAGTTCTACGGCCTGCATCGCGTAAAGATACCCTATGGACGTAAGATCCATTTCGTCGTCATGAATAACCTGTTCCCTCCGCATCGAGATATCCACCGCACATTTGATTTGAAGGGCTCGACGATTGGGCGAGACTTCAAGGAGGATAATCTGGCGACCAACCCTCGCGCAACTCTAAAGGACCTGAATTGGTTACGCAGAAATCAGCATCTCGAGTTAGGACCATCGAAGAAAAAGATGTTTATCGAGCAGATGCAGAGGGACGTCAAGTTGCTGCAGCGCTTGCACATCATGGACTACTCACTTCTCATTGGTATCCACGACTTGGAGAAGGGTAACGAGGAGAATCTGAGAGACAAAACACTCCAGGTCTTCTCACCAGGTGGAGAGGAGGCACCAGAGCCACAGCCGAATCAGCTCATGCGTACACCTTCAAAACTAGAGAGTGCTCGGAAAGCACGGGAACTGAGGCAGATGGTCAAGACCCAGAAGCCAGTACCAATGGGTCAGACCTCCAGCAAGATGCCGGATGAGTTGGAAGACCCTAACCGGAACTTCTACTTCTACTCCGATGATGGCGGTTTCCGGGCTACTCATGAAGACAACGCCCCTGGAGAGGAGATCTACTACCTTGGTATCATCGACTGTCTGACACACGTAAGTCTGCAACATGATTGATGTGCATGTTGTAACATACTAACTTCACTTCAGTACTCGTTCATTAAACGCATGGAACACTTTTTCAAAGGCATCGCTAATACCGAGTCACAAATATCTGCCATACCCCCCGAACGATACGGTGATCGATTCATCAAGTTCATCAGTGGCGTCACTAAAACCAAAGAAGCGGCCGATCGCGAGAAGATGGAAGAGGCTACTAACGATCTCAACGAACTATCGCTGGACGGTCTCAACCGATCATCGACCGACCGCGTCGTAGAGAAGGCAGAGCACCAAGCTGAACGCTCGCGGCGACAAGGTCATGGCGAGGAGAACGTACCGAATCTGCACATGAGGGCAGTACGTAGTCCGTCCGCGGAAAGAGGAGAGATTGGGACCACTCTTCCTGTAGTCGAGGAGGCTGGTGAGTCTTCGAGTGTTGGTGGGCATAGCAATCGGAGCGCCTCAGATGGTGCTCATGCTATAACTACAAGCAACAATGAGGCCTCGCCGCCTCCGCCACTCACAGGAGCACCCTATCTTGGCCCCCCGCGCCTTGAGTCCAGAGCTAGGTCAACGTCCAGAGAAAGGGATCATTCACAGGGTAGGCCACCGCCAACACCACCCAAAGACTCGGGCACCGCAAGTAGCGATGGTCGGCCACCCACACCAGCAAAGGATTCCGAGTACATGTCTAATAGGCACTCTGGGCCGCCCACACCACCGAAAGAGGACAAGAGAGGAGGGATACCCAGAGCCTCTCTGGACAAGGACCTACCACGAACACCATTAGAAACCACCATCAGGGTTACCTAAGCTCGCCAATGGAATCTTGTCCAAGTTCGCCATCTTGTCACACCTTTTCATACAATGCTTTTTGCATACCGCCTGGTCAAGTGCCAGGCTTTTCCTTTGTCGCTCCCCTGCGTCGCGAATGCATGATACCATGAGCCGCCGCCCGTTTTTATAGGGCGTCGATCCGCTCCTGCTTTTTCCTTTGTTCACCTTTTTTTCCATTTCTTGTCTCTGTTTGGAGCTATGTAGCTTTTCTTCCCTTATTGTTGGATCACGGAATTGGAACGGACGGCCTGTGTAGTACATTTCTTTCTCGTTTTGTCTCTGTCTCTATCGAACTCGTGGTGCCGGTGAATAGGAGTTGGTCGCCGCCCCTTGTTCATGTAGAATAGCTTCCGGTCGATTGGTGGAAGGAGGTGATAATAGCAGTTAGTGTTTGCTGACAGGTACTGTTGACATCGGCAGAAGAGCCGTGGTTGGGAAAAGAAGAAGAAGAAGCGGTTATGCCGTTGGGAAGAGATGGATTGGAGGGCTTGGTCATACATCTAGTAGATAGAGACGAAAGAAATTACAATTGCATATAATAAACATAACCTCCTCTCCAGTCCATTCTGATCACATGCTGAGAAGACGATGGGACAAGCCAAGAGTGTCTTTTGAATTATAATTCATGGTCTTTTTCTGTCTACTTTGAATCGACATTCAACCTTTAAAGCGGGCAGGAGAGGGA